AAATTAGTAAAACGATTCATTTTTTTTTTGTAATGTACAAAATTTCTATGGGTTATAAATAATACTGTATGCTGACTGCGAGAACGTGTTCGGTTCAAAAACGGGGGGTTGGGGCGATTTTAATACGGGGCGTTTTAACCTGATATCACCAACGCCCCATGAGTTTTCGAAAAATTGTGGAATAAACTCCTTATGTTTTTCATTAATTGAACACTTTTCTATACTACACGGTCCTCAATGAGAAAACAAATAATCAAGATTGGTAGCTCATTATTTGAATATTTTACCTCGTCTAGAAAAAGCAAATATGAGATTTCTTTCCAAATTTCAAATAACTATAAATATTTTTAACTGAATAATAACAAAAACAAAAACAAATTGATAATAATGAAACCATTATTTCTATAAACTTTCTTAATCTTTCTACGTTTTTTTCAAGTTTTACTCAATTATTAAAAAAAAGTACACAGAAAATTAAAAAAGATTTACCAGTGAACTCCAACTAGATTAAAAATGTAACAAAAAAGATCTCTTGTGGTGTTTTGATTAAAGCAAGTTGTCTTGTAGGAAAATAATTTGTAAAAATTAAGAATTATGAAATCCATGTTTCCTAAACGTTTTCTTCCGGTCATTTTCTATTTTCAAAACTCTTTGGAAAAGCAAATAATGACATGCTCAATTCACCAACTAGATCCATAATAATGAAACAAAAAAATGTCTCTTGTCATTTTTCAATTGTATATCAAAATTTCTGGTAAATCAGGTGCGCACAGATACAAAAAAAAAACAAATCTTAGTAAAACCAATAAATCCCTCGCTTCGCTTCGAATCTAAAAAATCCTAAACTCGTCAGTAGAAAGCATAACGAACATAGTATAAAAGGAATTTATGGTGTATATGTGGTTTATTTTCATATTTTATACTGCACTACTAAGAAATATAGTTATATTTATTTTTGTTTGTCCTACCTATTTATAGAAAGAAATAAAATATTATTATTATACTACTACGATAACAAATAATTTTTTCCCTTGGATTTTGTTAGTATTTGGCGATAAATTAATTGAAAAGAGTTCAATGTAACAACAAGACGAATCCATTTTTCGAAATTAATTTAGAAGAAAGAAAAAAAATAGCTGATACTGAGGATGGGAGCAGCCATTGTTGTAGGTGAGAATTTGGGAAGGTAAGATGCATAGGATTATTTAATTTTTTATCTGTAAGCAACGATAAACCATTGCTTGACGAATCCATCTAAAAAACTTGAGCTTTCAGAAAAGATGTTACACGTAAAAGTTGTATTATATTTACTAGGAAAAAACGTGTCCACAGACTAGAACAAAGAAAGAAAAAATAAATAAACAGCATTGTAAAACCAATAGCACCCTCGCTACGCTCGGAATCTAAATATCATCTCGTTTTCGTTCAGAATTTGGTTGAACCAGTCAGTATCACTATCGCTATTTGTTCTGTATATATATATATATAGACGGACTTGCATTAATGTTGCTCTAAATTACGTATAATTTTTTTTTTTTTTTTTTATATTGCTTTACTCGAAACTATCAAAAATTTATTTCCGCATACATTTAAACATTTCTTATTGTCGTACCGCAAGCTCTTCAATTAGATTAACCGTTCACGAAAATAACGTAAAGGTTAAAAACGAAAAAAGACTCAAAAAAAAAATAATAATAATAATAATAAAAATACGTGTTTCATGTATAGTTTTTGCTTAACCATCCTAATAAATGGGAAAATCCGGGAAAAACATCGTAAATCCAATATAAAACATAGGAAAAACGGGAAAATAGATATAATATTAGGTAATTATTTTACCATAATATGATACAATAAATATAATATATTGTCGCAATACTATCGACCGGACTCCGCTCAGAATCGTTTTGTTCGTTAGCAACGGTTAATCGTTGTGCGCATTAAATTCCGATCTACATCCCATAACCTTCCCGGCTTGCCGCCTACAACAGCAACTGCACGCGTCCCCGTTATAACGTAGTACAGCTTTTTTTGTGATGCGTTAACGCGGAAATGCAGCCGTTATTACAATACGGTGTAATTATACAGTGTGGGGAAAATTCGGCGGACTCCCACGCGCGACGGTGAAAATCGCGCTCGGGATAGGCCGCGTTTGGTTAGGTTAGGTTGTGCGTCCGGTTTTCGGGTCGGCGGCGGCGTTTCGACGGGGAGGGACGGACGGACTGGCGGACGGACGTGCACTTTTTACAGCTACTTTTTTCCCGGTACGAACGAGGGCAACGGCGGCGGTCGCGCTACCGGCCGCGTGTACCGAGAACCGGCAACCTCCCCGGCATACGCGCGCGTAGCATTCCGAAGCGCACGCGGTATACCAACCTAGTGGTTTATCGTTCGCGCGCGTCCTTTAACGTCGGCGGCGGCACCGGCAGACCGAAGTAGGGTCATTAGCAGCAGCGGCAGCGGCAGAAAACGGCAACGGAATACAAGTACAATAATAATAATAATACACTGCAGGTAGGTACCTACGCGCGGACCGGACCGGACCGGACGCGCGGGACGACGACGACAATCACTCACCCGGTCGTCAAAAGAAATCGCGCGCGCGCGCGCGCGCTTCAGCACACACGCACACGTACGTAACGACACAAGACCCAAGAGCGGATTTTTTTCCTTCTGCTATCGATGCGTTTTATTTTTTTTATTATCATTTTTTTTTTTTTCTTTTTCATCTCGGCGTGTCTGTCGTATATGTGTTGTATAGATATACCTATATACGACCTCTATACAGACGACGACCGCCTGCAGACCGGTATCGGACCCGGAGCAGTTTGTCTGACGTGTATAATACATAATATTATTATTATATACGTGTACATATATATGACGATTGCAAAAACGCAGTCACTGTCCTCTCTCTCACTCTCTCTCTCTCTCTCTCCGCCTTCCCGGCCCGTTCCGACGACGACGACGACGACGACGTCTCCTACTGTGGCGGCGACGACGACTTCACGTATACATAGGTATTATATAAGTACAATAATAATAATAATAATAATATAAACGCTGCTTGCTACTGGTGCGCGCTGCGGCTTGGCGATAATCGTCGCCGACGACGACCACTATCGCGGCTATCGTTCGTGTATCGGATACTCAATGAGAGGCGACGACGAAGACGGCGGCAGTTCCTAGAAAATCGATCTGCACTCGTAACTGACCTGCACTAACTACGTGCGGAATGACCTAAGCCGTGCGTGTTTGCGTGTGTCCGTGTGTGACTTTGCGTGCGTGTGTGTGCGCGTACGCCAGACGACGAAAATAATTCTGGTATTGAAACGTCATCGCCGCCACCGTCGGTCGTCTCCTCCGACTTGTTCGATAATCGTCGTCGTCGTTCGCTACACGTCATATTTTAATACGTACCCCTGATACGATTGTATTATATCGTCGTAATAACAATAACATTATAACAGTCGTGTGGATGTTGTACTGTTGTTATAATAGTTAACAGGCAATAGGTTATCGAATAGGTTATATTCCAGCAGTGGCGATAGTATCGTATACAACGGTCGATACCGAGAACATAATACATAGGAATACTGCGGGTTTTTTTTTCGTCAAAACCTTTATTCGACCGGGTATCAAAGCTGTCCTAGGATAATGAGGACTGGTGTAGCGACTGTTGTAGGTGGGGAATAGTGAAGGTAACAGAGGGGAAATTTAACGTAAATCTGTACGCAACGATAAACCATTGCTAACGAAAAAACGATTCTGAGTGGAGTTCGGTTGATAGTGTTGCTTCGTCGACAATATATATTATGGTAAAATAATTACACATATATCAAACATTTTGTTTAATAACATTTATTTAATATTGTACCTATTTTCCGGTTTTTCCCATTTATTGGAAAACTGGAAAAATCAAAAAATGACCTCCCTAAAGTACTATAGTCAGATTCTCCTTTAGAAAAAGTGCTATCATTGTAAATTGGCGCAAAATTTATGGTAAAAATGTATCTACAGAAAAGAAAAAATTAAAAATTAAATATCATTGTAAAACCAATACATTCCTCGCTCCACTCAGAATTTAGAAACGTTTAGAAAATCAGGTGTTCAATCGATAAATCGGTCAATATCGATATCGACACATCGTGGTTATCGATTTCAAATATCGGATCGCGTATCGGTAGCGAATATCGGGAATAAAGTTACATACTTAAAGACTCATCGGAAGTAATTTGAAAAAGGAGACTATGTTCAGAAACGAATAAACTGCTAACAGAGCCCGGATTTTGAAGAATTTAATATTGTATAGGAATAAGAAATATACTCAATGCAATGGCTCAATCGTTGATACAATACGGCATTATAGCCTGGGATGGTTGTAATACCACTTTAAAATATAACTTGTCATATAGACAAAAGAACCTAATAAAAATCATCTTAAATAAACAGAAAAAATATCCTTCTTGTGAATTATTTAAATTGTTAAGTGTAATTGATATTAACAATTTATACAAAAATCAAACAATATGTCTTATTTACAAAAATAATTTATTTAATACTACAAATCTAAAATATAACTTCTGAAAAATAATCTTGAAATACTGTTATTACTAATCTATAATCTAATTGAATTAATAATCTGTTCAAATTATTCACAATTTAAATGTAAATTAAAAGACTGGTTTTATAATAATCTTTAAATATAATTAATTTTAAATGTATAACACAACATTTATTAGTTTCTTATTCATATTCAATTATTTGTATTCAATTAAGTTTTTGTTTTTCTTGTTACTTTTATTATCATTATTAATATTTAAAAACGTTTTCTCTCTTCTTTATTATTTTTCATTACAATATAATAAAATAAATAGTATTACTGTATGTCATGAGATTTAATCTCAGTATAGAATAACTTCTAATATTTATCCATTTTGTACAATATGTAAATTGTGTATTTCCTTAACTAGAACTTTAAATAAATAAATAAATTTAGGGTATGTTTTATTTTCGAAACATGACACATTTTCTTACGAAACGGTGAGTTTAGGTATACGAATAACATATTTACGTAAAAATCTGAAAATGACGAAATTCGGACATGTTTCCTATTTCAAATAACCCATTCAATTCTGTACGAGAAATAGAGGTACATTTTCATCGAATTACCAACTAAAGATTTATTATTTTTCTTTCCTTTATTATTATTTCTGTTTCCCTATTATTTTCGGCTCTTTATGATACTTAAGCTCTCTACGTGTACGCTGCAGTCTGCTCTTCCCCTCGAGGATCGTTGACTAACTGCCGTATCTTACCTATACGCGCACACCGTTAGACGTGAAAATAAAGGACCTTTGTTTGTTTGTTTTTTTTTTTTTTTTTTTTTTTTTTTTTTTTTTTTTTTTTTTTTTTTTTTTTTTTTTTTGAGAGGTTGTTTTCACTTTTCAAAAATATACAATAATATATATAGAAATAAAAACCGACGATGTTATTATATTTCAGCAATCAGATGCAGGGAAATCCGTCCAAATATTTCGGGAAATTACGGCATTTTTATTAACCGAAAAAGATTTAACTTAAAATACCTACGCATTAACAAATTGTTTAAAGTAGGTAGCTAAACGGTAGGTATTAAATACACTGGACGCGAGACATAAAACGAAATATGAATTGGGTAGGCAGTTTTAAAAATTATATGAAATAAGAAGTCATGAGTTTTCATCAATTGTATCACCTATCTGTGATAATATAGTTAACCATCAATTAAACTGCATGAGTAATACATATTTTACAGTGCTACGTGTAAAATCAATATTTATAGTATTAGTCATTTTAAGAAATTGAAAAAAGGCTTTAGAGATACCTCTAAATATCTCTGTTATAGATGGAAATTTACGTATCCTAAATATAATCGTATATGAAAATTTTTTTATTTTAAGCGTATTGAGCATATGAGCAAAAAAGAAAACTAATAATGAAAAGGTTTTTTATGATATAAAACGTTTGTTTAATTATGAAATATTCTCGGTAGTACTTTTTTCCCCCTCATATTATTGTCCAGACCCTCCTTGCTTTAAAAAAAAAAACATTTTTTGCTTCTATGTCCATCCCCAGCCATATTCCACCTCAAAATTACACCACTAAGTGTGTACGTTAAGTGGTTTTATTTGAACTTGTTGTTTACATTTTGTTCATTTCGAAACTACCCAAGTTCATTTTCAAAATAATATAGCAAATAGATATTATATCGTCTAATATATTGACCGACCCTAGATAGCTGGAATGAAGGCAAAGGAGAAGAAGTATATAATATTGTATACAAACTTTGTTCACATTACCTAATGATATTTGTATTGTATACGTACATTAAATGTTCTTTTGGGCGTGTATTTATATCAAAACTCCCTCAATACGATTTGGTCTTATATCTAAATGGAAGCTATTATTAATTATATTTATTAAATTATCTATATTATATTATTTTTATAGATAATATTACTACAGTAGAATATTACTTTCACTGCAGGTCGTAATTCAATTTTATTGGATTAATGTCCCATGGCTATTATATTATTTATGACACATATAAATTGATTAAAAGTTAAAACTGTATAAACCCCTTACGACGAATTAATACGTTTTTCCCGTTTTGGTGAATTATTATTGTTGAATTCGAAATTTGGTTGAAACGGTTAGGTATAAGTGACCGGTGTAACAAGCGAATCTGACGTCAGGATGAATGTGACTGCGGGGAGTTAGATTAGCCGACGTCATATTTGCCTGTTAGCCCAGGCAAATGAGACGTCGGGCAAATCTGACTCCACGGCGATTGAATTAATTTTTATTTATATGTATGTTTTAAATTATTTATATCCAATTTATTTTATATTTTCCGACTTATTGATTAAATCATTTGTATTATTTATTGGAATACTAAATATTTTGTATTCATAATATAGGTATTTTATTGTATTAATTCATAAGCACTATACATTTCTAATTTTGGCAATAATAATGCAAACTAGATCAGTTTTATTTATTGTGTTTAAAGATGATAAATCGCATTAATTATTTAGTTGGTATCTTGGATGTTTATTACAATCTCTCATGCAGTTAGTCTGTGTTTCTGTTCACTAGTATTTAAATGATGATAAGGTCGATGAAATTGTGAGCTTAACCACGCAGAGCAGGTTAAAGTCTTATGGAAATACATGTTTGATATAGTTCGTACCATGGGTAAGCCACTGTTGTGCGTGGCCCTTTTCTAAAGTTATAAATGAAGTAATGTCCGATGAGATGGTTGCGTGCACCTTTGTGCCTGAGCGTTTTACGCTCATTACCTTTTTTATGCGTTTCACGCCCGTTATCAAAATCTTTACCTGCTGAAATTAAATAAGGCGGACTAATCGATCAAAATTTAAAATTATACAAAATTAATATATTTTTCAATATAATCGTATACAATTGTCAAATTATTATAGTCTACCGTTTTCTTACGATTATATTATATCATATTAATTTTGTATAATTTCAAATAATGTACTCGTAATACAATATTTTAATAAATTAAATACACATTTGTCTATGATATTAAACATTTAAACTATAGTAATTTATCAATTATATACGATTATATTAAATAATATTATAAAATTTTTAAATTTTGATTGAACTTTCAGCAGGTCAAGATTTCGATAACAGACGAAAATATCACGAAAAAGATGATGGGCACAAAGTGCTCGGCACGAATGAGATAGGGCTTAAACACACAGTACAAGTGTAAAACTCATGAAAATATGTTTTTATATTTCGCAATATGGGTAGGCTATTGTTGTAGGTTGAAAATTGGGAATGACATAATATGTACTATATTGTACTTATTGATTCTTATCTATATGCATACATATATACTATATATATACATACATAATATTTTTTGTTTATACAATTATTAATTTAGTTTTTTAACGAATATGCAAATTAGTAGGTAACTACGATTATTGACTAATGGAAACCACTAAGAAAATAAATTATTTACAGTAATATTATTATAAACTTGTATAGATATTAATTATATTATAATAAATTAATTCGGCCCATTTACTTATACAAATAAACATTCGTTTCCACGTTGTTAAATTCGTGGTAAATATTATCGTGTGTAGAATTCAAGGAATTCCTAATCAAAATTGGGTAGTCTCCTATGATTATAATCTACCGAATTGGGTTTTCCAATAAATGTTTGCCCATTAATTTTAAAAATATCCATATATTATCTGTATTTTATTTTATTTCCTAAAAATATTGATAAAGCTATTTTGTAAAAGTGCCATTTTGAGCCATTTCGTAAAATATATTATTCTATACATTTGTAGTTTATCATACATTCATATCCGATCAATAGTTTCTTAATAATAGTCGTTTTAATTTCTAGAAAATAGGTGTGAAAACAATTATAAACTACCGTTGGGATAAGGGATAACTGTGTTGCGATTGCAATTCCTTATTAAAAAAAAAAAATAATAAAAATCATATTTATATTGACAAAGTTATTAGTATATGGATAACACTGATTGAAACCTGTATATTGTAATATTGAAAAATTCTATCAATTAAAACTATTGTATATATTATTTAACAAATATAATTTACCAATCGTAATACTTACATAAGAGAAACAAAACATAATATATAAAAACTGAAGACTGCGAAGATGATAAAACAATTTAAAATAAACGTTTAAATAGTATATTATTTTAGAAATTAGAAAATGGCAGATTGTTGAATGTCAGGATAATCAATGACAATAATCACAGTTTAAATCGGTGATGCAACAAGGATTGTTCGGAGGAAGAGTTATAAATTTAAAATATGTGTAACTGCTCACATATAGACCATTGTTACAGGTAGTTGGGAAGATGTAGGATATACAGGAAAATTTATTTTATGTAACGAAAAAATGATACACAGCGGATTAATATTATATTATAATAGTCATGTTTTTACCTTGTTGTCAAGGTAATCCAGTAATCAACAAAAAAAAAATTGTATGTGAACTACTGACAAGTGTCGATAATGTTTCAAATAAAGTACTATTGGGTAGAAATTCTGTATCTGTTGAGATACTGCATGAATAAATTGGAGTATTTGTCAAACCAATAAAATGTTTAAAGAAGAAAATGTAAAATTCAAAACCATTTTCAATTAAAGTAATTCAATGAAAAATCCGAATCCTTTTATGTATGACTTAAATTTGTTTGTAATAATATAAACAAAGAACTATATGTATTTTATCTTCCCAACTTCCCACCTACAGCAATGGCATTAACAATATCAGCTCTTTTAGATTCTGTGTGTAGCGAAGAATGTATTCGTTTTACAAAAATGTTTATTTTTTTTTATACTGTGTACAAAAATTCTACCAGAAATCTTGCTCCGAAGTATTAAGTATAGCTCCTTTTCTGAATGGGAATTCCTCTAAGGTGGTACTTTAGAGAGATCATTTTTTGATTTTCCCAGGAGTTTTTCCATTAAATGGAAAAGCATGGTAAAAACCGGGAAAAATAGATTCAATAATAAAAAAAATATTATTAAAGAAAATATATAAAACATATATGTAAATATTTTACCATAATGTGACATATATGTATATATATATATATATATTGTTGACAAAGCAACATTATTAACCGAACTCCGCTCAGATCGTTTCTCGTTAGCAATGGTTAATCGTTGCGTACAGATATATATTAATTTCCCCTGTATCTTTTTAACTTCACACCAACCACAATGGGCCACCCATGTACAAAGTATGTCTTTTTAGATTTTGAGTGGAGTGAGGAATGTATTGGTTTTACAATGATGTTATTTTTTTTTTTTTATGTGAACACTTTCTACTAAAAAGCTTACTCCAATTATCAAGTATAGCACCTTTTCTGAAAGGAAATGTTCTCTAGGCGGCTCTTTACAGAGGTCTTTTTTTAAATTCTCATTAATATTCGAGATATTGAGGGAAACCTAGTTCATTAGGTTAAAAAATATTGAAAGATTAAAAATGAGGTTGTCATTGGTAACCATTTTTATTTATTTTTTTGTCATTATTAAGTTTTTATTATTTTAATCTTTTTTGAAACATTCATTGTTATCGTGAAAACGCTCATTGTTGTAATAATTTTACCATAATATGACATATATATTGTTGACAAAGCAACACTATCAACTGATTTCCGCTTAGAATCGTTTTTTAGTTAACGATGATTCAGCGTTGCTTACACGTATACATTAAATTCCCGTCTGTATCCTACCTTCCCTATTTCCTATCTATAACAGTGACTGCAACTACGTGCGAAGTATGTCCGTCTTTTTTTATATTTATTTTATCTAAATTATTTAAATCGTTTTTGGCGTGTCGTGAGTAATCTCCATAAGCTCTTACAGGCTGTCCCACGAATATATACCCCTTGAATATCACCGGAGATAATAAAGTTAATCAAATTCTGTTTTCGCAGGGATTAGGACTACAAATATTTATATTTGAATTACATTTTATTTTTTTATTAAAAAAATTAAAAAGAAAAAAATGTAATTCAAATATAAATATTTGTAGTTTTCATCCCTGCAAGTGATATTAAAAAAAAAAAAACAGAATATTGAACTAGTGTATCTTCATGGGACAGCCTGTATAATATGTAACTCTTCGATATTTTCCTCGAGGAGGAGATTTAGTCTATATGCGAATAAAGACTCTCTGCTACATATATAATATTATGCACATTATGATAAAAGTTATATTCACTCAACACATGAACTAGTAATAAGTTGGTCTTCATATTCTTTTGTAAAGATGTTGGATTTTGTTATCTATAATATAATATTAATAGATTTTAAAATTAATTATAAGACTATAGTCTATACTATATACTATAATATATTACCTAGTTTTCTATATCATATTAAGACAAGGTTGCATTTTTTTTTAAGAACAGTACAGGTGACATTTAATAAAAATACCGAACCTATATATGAATCTCGAATATTAATAACTACTTTTCCATATGATAATCTTTACTTTACTATATGATATTGATTTAAGTATATAAATGTATGAATGAAACAATCTGGAGTTGAATTTTCAATCATTTTTGTTGGGTCAAAACAGTTTTATCTTCATAAATTTAATAAAAATTTTAAAAAAATTGACATTTTTAAATTGCTATAAATAGCTCACAAATTGCCAGATTGTTTTGAAAATTTTACCTAGTTAAAATGTTAGATCCCCAAGATAACTTCTAGCCGAACCATAACAAAAAAATAAAATTGAACATTACAAATTTTACTGTTCCATATTTTCTCATTTTGGACGTTTATTCCTAGGGTTTCACCAGTTATTAAAAAGATTTCAAAGAAATTAACTTTCTCAATCCACTTACAAGATGCAATTGGTTTTTAGAAAATATCCTAAATTGATGATCGGAGGAAAATCATGGCATAAGAAGTTGTTTATAGATGGAAAAATAAAAAAAAATCAAACACGCCATAGTAAAACCAACAAATTCATTGCTACGCTTAGAATTTAAAATTTGTATGTACTTTTTATTAAATTTAAAAATCATATTTACAATTTTTGCACAAAAATCACAAATGAAATATTGGTAAAGATTTTTCTCGAATTATTTAATAATATAGGTACTTTACCTACTTATTATTACAAGTATAATAAAAATAATTATTATTTCCTATTTGCAGGCAATAACATAATATTTTATTGCGCTATATCAAACAGATTCGGAATAATAATTTCTCATAAATCTTTGATTTTGCTCATCGCCTGACGTTTGGCTAATGGAACGTCGAAAGCGAACATACTCATGTATAATATGTATGTGCGCACGGTATAAATTACCAAGGTTAATTGTACCCTGCGGATGACGTATAAACATTGATCGAGCTAATGGGTACACCTATCTGGTATAAATAGTTTAGGATTACTATATTCCCTAGGGGTATAAGCATTACCTAGGCTATACGGTATAAATCGTTTGAGTTATTTTTACCTCAGAATTTAAAAATTTGATGCGGTAGATATAGAAACAACACTTCAATAATGACATATAGTATTATGCCAGTCTGATCGACCGCGTAACACCGAGCGCTATGTAACTGATCATCGGAATAGTATTTTCTCAATCGACTAATTTAGTTTTAGTTAGTATATATATATTTTTGTTTTATTTTAATCTTTGTGAACACAATTAGTTACAAAAATTAATTATCCGTTAAAAAGGAATTGGTTAAAATTACGAAAAAACCAATAGAGAAAAAAGAGAGACGAACAAATTCGAAAATTATGAATATAAAAATATACTTTCATCGACCGCAAAGATTGTACACAATATTATTGCGGGAAAAAGCTGGTAGCAGAAAAATATTGTAAACATGTTTCGATCTTGTGTGAAAAACGTTGAATTTCAGCGGAGAAATAATATTATAATTGAAAAATTTAACATAGGTACGTTAAATTTATTTACCGTGTGAACCGCGTTTTATTGAAAGTAATTTTCATTATTATTTAATCATGTGACGTCCCGTTATCGATTACTAAAATAAAAATATTTTCGCCACTGGGAACCCGCCTTGCACAAATATAGTTGATTTCATGATTTTTACGCACATATACAAGTTATGTTCTCCGGAGTAATGTATACCTATATGCGGTCCATATACATACGATTTGTTTAATGTAAATATATTACATAATCGTCTACTCTCCCGAGGGAGAACGCGTTGATCAATCAATGAATAAATCAACAATGTAGTAAGACCTTTTTTTTTAAAATCGAGTTCACTATTATTATTACTCGGCTCCTGACCATCGCAGTGATTATATTATTTGCTAATCGTGATAAAATTCGCTAAAAATACGAGTAATTATTATAAACCGCAAATATTTAATAAGCTACTCACATAAGTAATGTTATACGCACGGACAGACGCATATACAAAATATAATACTTTTGAGAAATATTGTATCATCGTGTAAATAAATATACACATAGTAGATAACTAATATTTTTGTTCATTAAAATAACGAGAGTTTCACTAAGTAAATAGATTAGTTTTTTTTATAAAACTACGACCTACAAACGACGGATTTGTCTACTGTTTTGCTTTAAGCGAATAAAGTATTAGCGATGTATATGTAAATAACGAAATATATAATATTAAATCCAAAAATCAGTTCCATCAGTTCTGTCGCGTTTCAAAAGAACAGGAAATGATTGTCAAAAATCTGAAGTCTCAACGTTTGATCTGGACCCTAGAAAAAAGTACCATAATAGGATGAGGGATGATGAGGGAATTTGCCCCTCTCTTCACGGTCCGCATAATATACGAAAAACATTGATTTAATGAGACAAAAATTGCTTATTTAATGTATTTTAATATTGTATTTTACATTATGTATATATTAATATTCATTTTTAATCTCGCATGGAATTGGGTGCAGTTGCGAGGGCTTCTTAAACATTCAATATGAATCGCGACGAAACGTGTAGAAATAAGCTCCGTATAGATTAAATACCTACGCTATTATAATAACAGAACTTGATTTAAAAGAAAAAAAAAAGGCGACCCAAACTATTATAATATACATATTATTATATTTTAGACGTGTTTGTATGCCTGCGTTATAAATATAGATTTAAAAATATAATTACACGGACGTCATAATCGATAGGTACATAGAGTCTGTAGCGGAGACGAGGACAATATAATATATACAATAATGAAAATATTATGCGGCTATTGTAGGCGTATAGCCGGATAGGATACCTGTTGATCGTTACACTTTTTTTAGTAACGAATAATAATAATAATAACGTGTTATTAAACCACGTCGAACCATGGTATAGGTGCATTGATCATTGTGTATATGTAGGTACCTATTACACATTTATGTTGATCGGGACATTATGTTAATCATTAAACGGTGCATGCGATCAAATCGGGTGAAAACATCTCGTGCAGCAACGTTGTCATTATTCTTTTGTATATAACAGTAATACGCGCTGCGCGGTGGCGTACCCAAGATTTGTCTGCGGGGCAGGGGACTAAATACAATATAAATCGAAAATTGTACAAAATAATAAACACAGGTATATCGAATTCTTTTTTATCATATGTAAAACCTATTTCTTGAGATTGTTTTTCGAAATACGTCATAATTATATCACGTAGTATGAAATTATTCAATATTATTTGGTTGAATTGGTATTATAGTATAAATGGGGAATGATTATTATTTTCAGAGTATTGTAACTGAGTAAAATATAGTTTAAACTTTAAAAGAGCCAATCGGGGGAGGAAAATGGTAGGTGGGAGGAGAGCTGAAGTCTTTTTCGCAAACCCCCTAAATACACCGTCGATAATGGGATAAAACGAATTCGAGTAGTTTTTACAAAAACAATCACTTCTCGCCGCGTCTCAGATCAGAGAGAGATGAAAATGATAACAGCAACAATAACGTCAATAACATATTATTACAAGGAAATAATTTCAAATCTACAATATTATTACTGTTATTCATTTGAGGTAAAAATATTGTAAACGTTTACTACAAAAAAAAATAAAAAGTAAAATGTAATAATGTTACGGCAACAAGGTTAACTCAAATTATATCATTTTTACTACCTACAGAGCGGCGATGTTAAAAATTCCATTTTATTATTCTATTTTTTTTTTTGCAACTCGACAATGCCAGGCTGTTTTGAAAACCAGATTCGATCGTTTATGTGTCGAATTCTTCGTCTGGGTGTCTGTGTTGTCGTTGTGTCCGTTGTTGCTCTCTAGCACGTCAACCCTCCGCGCATCATCGCATATAACAATTTATCCTTATACCATTAATAACTGGTTTGAACAGTTCCCATCCTTGTCAGATTCGCCATTCGAAAAAAAAGGAAAATGCCACAAGTGTGTGGCATTTTAATAAATTATTGTACAAGTGTGTACAATAATTTATTTATATTTGACTTAGAATTTCAACCAAAAACGTGACATTGTGGAAAAAAGATTGTCCATAAGGGATTTTTCGGTCATGTACCTATATAGATTATGTATTACAATTACATAATGCCACACAATATACAAATCCGTTTTTTCCCTTCTAATTAATTTTTGTTAAATCGACAGAGTAATAATAATGATAAAAAAAAATCCCGCGAGATTCCTCCGTTTCGCCCGTCGTGAAGTTATTCATATCGAATATTGAAATCGCACGCACGTAATAAACACGAACGCGTATAATATTCGCAGAACATTTTGTAAGTTGTAGGCGCAATACTATACTTCATCTACTTCGTTCGTCTCGTACGTCAAACTTGTAAATTCTCATATCTCTTTGAGTTTCATCCCGTCAGAAACGTCATTCGTCACGTGCTTGCGTATAACATATACAAAATATTATGTATCGACAAAGGAAGAGAAAAAAAAACCGTTCGCGTTATTCCGAGGCGTTTGAAAGCGAACGCACGGGCGACTTCCCGCGAATATATCAAATATACCCGGAATTATACACGGATTATGGAGTGGCGTCATCGTCTCGAATTTTGATTACTCGAAAAAAAACGTCGAGTCCCCCTAGCCGTTAGGGTTACTGTTATTATTATTTGTTTATTTAAACGGGCAACGCCCAATGAAAAATATAAAATTACGACGATTGGAGGATTACATTATTGTACATTGTAATGAAAATAACATCATAAACTATTCATAAAATTATTAAGGTACACATATACATTAAACAATGCGATATTATTGTTACAGAATAAATCTACGTTAAACCTATTCACAAGGCCTGTTGATCTTACTGTCGGAGCGTTTTGACAGTAGACGTAGACTCGATGAAATGGCGCATAAAAGGTATTTGATCATCTAGTAACTAGTTCGAAATAAGGTCACTGAATAATCAAATATTTTAGTTAATGATTTCGAGCAATGTGTAAATTACTACGAACTAATTTAAAAATAAAACAAAAATCTCATCTAGTTCTTCTGACCGCTGCGGTTTCTAAATTAATTATTGATAATAAAGGTGAATAGGATGAATGTTGATGTAGTTAGTTTGTGTAGTTAAATGACAGAATAGTATTAGAGTCGGAGCTGTTTTTAGGAGTGGGGGGGCAATGAAAGCGACCTCTCCGGGGCGCCAAATCTTTTTAAAACTTAACATTGAAAAGGTTTTATTTAGAATAAGAGCAAAATCTCCATTAAATGTTAAAGAAGAATCGAAGTGTGCGCTTACAATATTTATATTATGAAAAACTCTAGTTCATTCAATCACATTTAGATTATATTATTTATAAATTTAAGATACACCCTTTTTTAAATATGTCAAAGTTGTGCGTTGTCAGAAAGATTTCTAATTCGGAATATTTTTAATCTATCGGCAAAAAAAGTAAAAATGTCACAACTACGAGTAAATCGAATTAAACGATATTTTTTAAATGTTTTTTCGTGAAATCATTCAAACAATAATTTTTATTTTTTTTAATGAAATTGTATCATTTGCATACCATTTTCTCGCGGTAGTTTTCGAAAACGAGTAGAATCGCACTATTAACGAATTGTGTATACATATTATAATATATTTGTTTGCATCCCCAACAGCAATAATTCCGATACCGAAAATATCGTGACGGCATTTTTCGCTACGGCGACAGGTCGAACAGGGCGATGTGGGAGAGAACTCGCGAGAGGAATATTATTACTACTATATTTATGTACAAGCCAGAGGTCATTGCTAATACGCGATTTTTTTTTGTTTTATCTTGCCATCATACCATAGTTGGACAGGTTAGATATTATACGCGACGGTTGTTTTTTTTTTTTTTTTAAACATTTTTTTTTTTTTTTAAGATTGTCGCCACCGCCGCGGCGGCCGTTACGGATGGGACACACCGGCGGGCAGGGAGCTTGTACACGTATAATATAAACTTTGAACGTCGCACCGCGCTCGGTCGTTATTATGTTATTTGTTCTCAGACATAGACGTCGTCTCGTGATGTCTGTCCGACGACGACGATGATGGGCAACGGACTTCCAAGAGTCTGGGTGTACTGTCCGTAGAAAAATCCGATGCCTGTATACGGGAATTTTGTACGCGAAACCTGTTCTATTTACGCGTATTTTTTTTTTCATATATATATATTATTATTATTATTATTATTATATATATTTTTTTTTCATCCGCCGACGACGATGACGACGACGCGACCATAGGCTACTATATTTTTCTGCGCTCGCCGTCCTCTCTCTCTCTCGCACTGTCTCTCGGCATTATCGCGGTTGTTTGCGCCCCGCCGCGGTCGGAACACGTCTCGCCCCCTCCCCGTCAATCGCAACTCTCTTTTTTTTACCCGACCCCGTATTCCTCCCGTATAATAATATGTTCTTCCGACTTTATTATTATTATTTGTTTTCTAAGACCGCGCGCGCGGTATTATTATTATTATTATTATGACGACGGTTTGCCGCGCGCGGCCGCGATCACGTATCTCTGGTGCGGGCAGCGCAGACTTCGCCGCCGCCGCCGACTACGTCTCCGGTCCCATCAACCCCGTTCCCGCGATTAACGATCCATAATGCGTCCGTGTGTACACACACACGAGTATAATATAATATTATTATTTATATATATATAACATTATTGTGTATACGGCGGCGATATAACGCGTCTGGCACTCGACCGGAATACGATTTTATAACGCGTATAAGAGAGCTCCCGTTGTCACCGCTGTAGCGCGGGCATTATTGTAACGGCGACGAAGACCCGGACGGGCACGAAACGCGGCGGAGTCGTACACGGTCCTCGGGTATACTTCGGCCGGGAGGATTTACTATGTATAATAATAATAATAACACGAACGGTCTCTTTATTTCGGGGGGTTTTTTTTTTTTTTTCTTTCGCGTCCTTTCCTTTTGGGTGTTTTTGTATATTATTTCTACGTGTACTATCTGACGAGGGTCCGACACGAAATGCTAACATCGCGTCGTCGTCGTCTCGGCTCGTGACGGGTTGGGTGGCCCGCGCGCGTTGAAGTTATCGTCGCCGGGGTGGCGGAGGACTCGGCGCGCGAGGTGTCGCCACCTCCTCCGTCGCCGCCGCCAAAACAATATTCTCCTCCGAGTACGTCTCTCGTTTGTTTTTCCACTCTCGTTTCTCTCCGCGCGCGTCGTTTCTTTTGTATACGATAATTTTATACGGACGGGTGACACGATAATAATAATAACACACTCGTGTTTCTCGCCTTTCGGGTCGTCTGACTTCTGTAACAGGTTGTACAATGTACACATATAGGATCCGCGCCGTATAATAATACGTATTTATTTATTTAGGAAGTTTACGGGCTATAAAATACACAACAATGCAGGTGTATTAAATACGGGACAATGGTTTCTGCACGAATAAATAATACGCCGGAGTCGGCTCGATTCGCAATTGCCACAACTTTGTAAAAAAAAAAAAAAATGCGAGTTCGAGATTATTGCGTTTAATTATTATGAAAAAAAGAAATATAAGTAAAAACGCTCGAGACCGTTACCACTCTTATCGGACAATTATTTTCCGATGAAATCAGCGGATTAGTACGAATGAACACTATGAAGTACTACTATATGAGTAAAACTATCAGTTTTTTATCTCTATTGAAAAGTAATCAATATTATGGAGTTACAACAATATTACTATATATTAGGTTCACGATACGCACAAATTGATAATAATTGGAACCAGATTTAAACTACAAAGAAAAATAGTCAAAAATGCACTTTTAAAATTCCGCTGAGCGCAATGTCACAAAACTATTAAAAATATAATAATTTGTTACCTACTCGTCGTACAAAACCTGATATATATTTCCTCACTAAACTAATAAGTGGCAAAATTACTTGTTCCCCTCTTTGGGAAACGTATTTCTTTCAATGTTCCTCAATATTACTCATGATCATGTCTTACTTTCTATACCAGAACCCACCGTACTAATTAGGGGTATAATAATTCCATTGAAAGAATATTGTGGCTGGGAAATGAATCTGGACTTGACTTCTTTAATCTTAAAGTTTTTAATTGCATTTAGCTAATCTTATTTTTGTATATTTAATGCTGCTAAAGTCTATGTTATTTGTTTATCGTTACTTATTATGTTATTATTTTGCTGCATATTATTCTGTACTCGAGCCAACTTTGGCATTTATTTAAATAAATAAATCACCAAAATAATGAAAAAGCGGTGAAATAAAAGTTTTACTTTTGAATTATCCCTCATGATTTGAATTGTGTTTGATTACCTATATACTTCAAATACATTGTTCAAGATTACCGACCACCCTCCCACCGTACACACACACACACACACACACACACACACATTTATTTTATTTGAGTAATAATGAAGTCTAGATTCCGTATTAATTATATTGATAATACCGACGATTTATATATTAATAAAAGTTTTGTTTGTCTGGAGTTTACCCGCAATGCGAATTATTATGATGATGTTCGGCTTCTGTTTAAACACGATTTTTACCATAATATTTCGTTGTAGAAAATCATTAAAAAAATAATAATAATAATATTGGCTCGGGAGTCTTTTCCGCCGCCGGGAAAATCGACTACTATAATACCTATATATATGTATAGGACCATGATGACGAGGAACCCGACGGGAACGTGATGACTTGCTCGAAATCCGTGACATTCCGTGGCCGAACAATGACTTGGAGTCCGTCACACTGCTTGTGTATGTATACCTACTACGATGATACGCGACGATGGTACACGCGGTCGCCCACGCAACAACGCAAACAAAACGAAAGAAAATAATAATAATAATACACACACACACACACACAAAAGACAGTTATAAAAAACCACACACACACACACACACATACATACACAATAGGGGCTCTCCTCGGACGTCGTCAGCCGACGGTTTGATATCTTTATTATTTGAAATGTAAACAACACGGACCGATGATAAGGCGAAATTTCCACCAAGCAAATCGATTAGCCACCGTTTGTGGCCGCGGCGGCGACCGCCAATCCGTGTAAATCAACGACAGTCGTAGTCGTTTTGTGTGTAAACACGCCTATCTCTCCGGGCCCGTGAGAAGACTAATTTTGACCGAGTATATTATTATTATATACCTATAATACGTATCTTTTATTGTCTTTTTTTATTCAATCATTACAACGTTTTTTTTCTCCTTCTCGATTACGCGCGCACCAATACAACGCGCGGCGAGTTTTCGACAACTCTGACGACTATATTATTATTATTATTATTATACAAAATAATATTCGTCAAACAAAAAAAAAGTCGTCGTTTTTTTCACACTCTTTGGAAATCGGATGTGTATATACTGCAAAGCATATTACTTTGTACACGATACTATATAGGTTATAATAAAACGAATTTGCCATCAAAAACAGGCGTGTTTTTGCAGGCACGCTCACGACGAATGAATAACATTTATAACTTATAATATTCTTTTACTTTTGCTGTTCTATATTAAAAATTGTGCCGTGATCATCAGCTACCAAACTGTAGAACTAAATACCGGATCCGGATTTGGAGACGGCTAAGAGAGTTGTAGCTCAGGGCCACAAACGAAAAAAAAATCGCTTCATCAAAACTTTTTTTAAAACTTACTAATCATCTTTCATAACATTTCAAGAAAAATTTGCTATCAAAATATCAAGTATAATAATCTCTTTGTGTTATTAGTTTTTACTGAAAACGTTGAAAAATAGTTGATGCAACAACAACTCTACTGAACATTTTACTTTTATTATTTATTTATTTTTAGAAAATTAAGACCCTTATATCAACCCTTATAGCTTAACAAATTTCATTAATCCGACGGTGATTAAAACTGTCTGTAGGAAACCCTTTTCGGCAACACCAATAAATGTAGTAATGGGTTGGGCACGGTAAATTCATTAGGTAATGGAAAGTATTATACTCAATACATTTGAAATAAAAATACTCGACATAAATATAATCTATATACAGCAAAATATCGTAAAAATAAAACTATTTTACAAAACATATTTAATGAATTGGATATTATTGTTATTTACTGTATACAATTATTTGAATACACCTACTAATATTTTTAATTTATTATATATTATTGTCATACTATAAAAAAAGTATGACAATTATGTACTGAAATCGAAATCAAAACCATTGTTAAAAATAAAAGAATTCCGAGTGTATTTCAAAACACGATAAAGATATTACTAAAGAAAAAATCCGTTAACTGCACTCCAGCAAATTGATGGAATGTATAGATCTATTCATATATATCTTCCAGCTTCAAATGCCAGCAAGGCCTATTACTCCACATAGCTGTGGAAATAAAAAATAAAGAACAATCTAGTACCTACATTATGCCAAAAACGTTTACACTTTTGACTCTTATAGTCTTTGAGGATTTTAATTCAGTCTATCAGTTCATCCACCCATCTTTTATCAGTCTGTCCAGTGGTCTATTCCCCTCGTTTGTATTTTTTATCGTTATGGTCTCCATACGTGTCTAGCTCAACCTTTTTCTTTTAAGTTTCTGGATTATGTCTTCTTCTTCAAACAGCTCTTTTATTTCAGTAATCGCTTTTGTTTCATATTCACTTATTTGTTCATTTTTATTTGGTTCAAATATGCACCGAAAAAATTGTATTGCCAAAATTTAATAAAAAATATCACGTAATAAAATATAAACACAAACATTTTAAATTTTGTAAATTAAAATCGGTATAAAATATTTATCGTAGAAACTAGAGTTACGTTGATTATAATAGTATAAATAGTACCTATTATTAAGTTTTTAAACATTAAACTAAACTTCCGAATTGTTTGCTAGATATATTCAAATAAAATAGAAATTATTTACATACAGTTATATAAACAATATAATATCATATAATCATTAAAAATCCAAAATACAATATAAAATATGTACAATATTTCCTAAAAACATAATTTGACTTCTTGTATAATATAATAATAATAATTTATTGTATTGTTCATATTCAATACCATGACGGTTTAAAATAATTGAATTATTTGACAATTATGTAAAAGTAAAATAAAGATGAATGAGTTATAACTACTCGGTCTTATAGAAAATCCGTGGAATTGAAAAAACCGTTAATAATTATTGTTGAACATGAGTACTTAGATAATTGTTTTTATACATTATATACTGTTAGTATATTAAAGTATTTTAAAAATACATAGAAATCATAAACAATATTGTATATAGTAATTGAGTATAAAAAAACGACATACTTCGTACGATGGGTGGGCCACTGTTGTAGGTGAGAAGTTGGGAAGGTTGGGGATTCTAATGCATATCCGTACACGATTAATCTTTGTTTACGAAAAACGATTCTGAGTGGAGTTCGGTTATAGATGTTTAGAAAAGCCGTAATATTTATGAAATTTGTATAAAAAAAACTACTCATATTTTTTTACCATAAAGTACGACTTATAATGAACCACCTATTAAACATTCAAGAATTTCTGTTTGATCTGACAAT